AGAGAGAGAGAGAGAGAGGGATTATATAGGAAGGATATATAGTGCTAATGGAAAAGAAACTACAATAGTGTACTGAGGTTATGTGAGCTGTAGTCTAAACTCCTAGTATCCGCCTTAATATCCCCTCGGGTTGACAGGATTTAGGAATTCAAGTTGCCGGCTCATGAGCAGACATCAGCAGAAAACAGCAGAGCGAGAAACACAAGGATCAAGACGATCATTGTGGTGATGAAGACACATGGACGATTTCCAAAGTTCGGCTCCCGTACCCGTACATGCAACAGAAGTCACAAAGTCATCCTCCTTAGTGCCTAAGAAGAGACACACCTTTTTGGGAAGCACTGTGTACTGAACAAGTAGGTGCAAGGGCCTTGGTACTAGTCACCACTGTCATGTAATTAGGAGCTGCGGTATGGGAGTTCCTGTGAGCTTGGTGTACTTTCAAAGCCACCACATGAACCCTAGATCAAGCCCTGCACCAAAAACCTTTGAAGCTAAATCCTACTCGCAAGGAACAAGGCGCATCACGGACGCAGAGAGCTCGCCGAGCTTGAAGACCTCGCCGTCCGTGAAGAGGTGGTCAAATTGTGAGCCGTCCTTCTGGCAGCGCTCTCTCTCTCTCGCTCTCTCTCTCTCTCTCTCGCTCTGTCTCTCACACATGCACGCACGCGCTCTTGCTCTCTTGTTATCTCTTGCTCTCGCTCTTCTTTTCCTTCTTCTTCTTCTTTTCTATGTGCTATGCGTGACGAGGGGTCACGCTCGGACTAGGCCCCGAGCACGAGGTTCCTCTCTCTCACTCACTCAGTCACTCTCTCTCTCTTTCTCGCTCTCCTTCTTTTTGTGTTGCTGCCTCTTTTTCTTGTTTCTTACCTTCGACGACTCTCTCTCTCTCTCTCTCTCTTTCTGCCTACCATGCTGACCATCGGCATGCAGGTGCATAGATACCGTTACAGGAACAGTGCATGCTTTCAAGTGCCGGAGGATGACTTTGAGAGGTTCAGAATTCACCAGCACTCTTGTGACAAGACAAAGTGTTTGGGGAGCCAAAGAGACAGAACTGATTGCCCCTTCTGAAGGCGGATGCACATGCAAGGCCTTTGCCCCTTGCAGCCATCGCAAATGACTCTTTCTTTAAGAGCAGATGATTTTCTAATGGTCGATCGGGTCACCTGAAAATAGCTCTTTGCACTGTCAAGACACCTCTTTCTGCTGCTAAGCTTACTCCTGTTCCTGCACACACACACATAGGCTCATAGGCTACAAAGCGAAAGACAGTGACTGTGCGTGTTGCCCCAGACGCCCATGACTGGTATGCTAGTGCCAGAATGGCATATAACTGGTCACTCACTCACTCAGTCTCTCTCTCTCTCTTTCTGTCTCTCTGTCTGCCTCTTCCTGTCCCCGTCCCTCTCTCGCTCCTTCTCGGCGTCTGTGTCTCTCTCGCCCTCGCTCTTCTTCTTCTTCTTATATGGGCTATGCGCACTCTCACCAGCGCGCTGAGGCTAGGCCCCGAGCCCGGCCCTCCCTCTCTCTCTCTGTCTGCCTGCCTGTGTCTCTTTCTAATGTTACTAGTATTATGATTGTGAATGCTCCGCTGGCGGCTGCTCCTCCACCGCTACTACCCATCCCCTTGCTCCAGCACAATTCCAAACACCATGGCTGCCAAGCATTGGGGAAAGGTGATACAGTGATACCCCAAGAACTATGGAGAATCAAACGGAGCAGAACATGGAACGGAGCATGACAAATCAATGGACACTGGGTTTATGTCGGAAGAAGAATTGTCAGTATCAAGGGGAGGTGATCTCTCTCCATGCTCGGAACTCTTCTTGAGGTCTCGAGGCTAGGGGCATCAAAAGTTACCTTGCTTTGGCAAATCGTTCTGAAACAGCGTCCTTCTTGAAGTTAGGCCCAAGATTGAAGACGCCCGAAAACACCTGGGCAGGGTAATCATTCAGGGGACCTACAGGTCAAGCGAGGACAGCCTCAAAGGATCTTCAACAAGCCTGAAACAGATCTGAACTACCTGTACTGAAGCCTGAGAAGTTCTGATTTCCGAAATGACTGAAATAACTCATACGTACCCCTGGGACCCCACAAAACAGTTCCAGTCTACAGCGCTGAATAGGCAAACATAGCACATCGACAAACAGATGTCCTAAAATTTGAGAAGGTGAGAAATTGGCAGACAAGCGTTTGGACGTGGTTAAGACGACTTATTAAGCTGCACATGTGGAGCCGTAGTCACGAGGTTCAAACTTACTGGAGGTATACATGATATAGGGAGTATATAATCCCTATATCATATATTCCCATACTCCCTGCTGGGAACCATTACCCGTAAGCAAACCTGTAGGTGGGATGAGCATGCCTTCAGACTCATAGCCAGAATAACCTCTCTACAGTGCGACTTTGCAATCTGAGGCCCCAAGCCTTCAACCCCCTTTGCAGCTCAAAAACCAAAACAACAGCAAACCTGAAAAAACAAAAACATCCCTCCAAAGGGGGCAAAAAATCAAGAACATAGAGGAACCACGTCACTGGAAACTGAATTACTTACTTTAAAAGAGGGTGAAGCAGCACCCTTAGCCCTAAACCCGGAGCCGCCTCCTGGACAAGCTTGATGTTCTCGCCTATGGCGATCTTACCTGCACTTACTGGTGGCTTGTTAGAAACCACCAGTAAGGAAAAGGGGACTTTGGATGCTCTGTAACATAGCAAAAGCCTTTTTACCATCTAAGGCATCTGCGGGTTTGAGGCCCTAACTGATGAAGCCCCATATGATCTAAAAGCCTACACTCGAAACGCTAATCACGAAACCCTAGACTGTCTATAAACCTTGACGCTAACCCAAAAAATCTACTGTGGGGGGGGGGCCAAGGAAAGTACCAGTATCACTTTGGAGGTATATTTAAGATACCCTATGCCATACCATACTTGTGCAAGGATTTTGGGACCAAAAAAGGTTGAGACCTATCTGGGCCCTATAGTTAGGGTTTAGGGTTTAGGGTTTAGGGGTTTAGGGTTTAGGGGTTTAGGGTTTAGAGAAGTCAAGCCCTAAACCCTTTAGCCAGCCCAGATGCCACCCAGCTTGGATTGGATATATGGCGCCGCAGACAGGTGGTCTGCGTGCGCGTGCGTCTCCTGAGCTCTCCAAATCTTACAACCATAAGGTTCAGGTTGTTATGGGTTCGACTAATACCCCCCTCTATACTACCCCCCCTAGGTTCCCCCCTTAATTAAGGTTATTTAAGGATAATTAAGCTTAATTAAGGTTAATTAAGGGGGAACCTAGCGGGGGGTAGTATAGAGGGGGGTACTAGTTTAACCCATGAGGTTGGGTACTGCCCCCCCTCAGTAACAGTTGGATAAATATTATACTATGGTTACGTATAGCCCTTAATAAGATCCCTAGTATAGAGTGTTACTGGGTGGGGGCAGTACCCAACATAAGGTCCAGGGTTCATTGTTTAGGCATTACGGTTTAAGTTTTATTTCCCTAAACTTTAGGGATACAAGTATACAAATAATACCTACATTGGGCCCTAAAGTCTGTAAATCTTACCTACATTGGGCTGTTTGGAACCCATGTTTTCCACCCTAGAAAGATGAATGGTTCTAGTGAATACCCCAGGCTGCGCACGAAAACAATATAGGTGAAAGGTAGGAATCATGATACTTCATCTGAGGTTTTCTATGGCTGCGGATCAAAACCGCGTTTGGCAGCGGCCCACCCATGTTACATACCACTGTATCGCGGCCCGTTGTCACATACTTTTGTTGCGAAAGCTTGGTGCATATATGCCAGATGAAAGAGCGTTGTTGCAAAGGTGCTTGTCGCATGCCGGACAATTCTGTTACAAGTTAGAAGCCTATAATGGCCGCCCAAATCATACTACAATGACTATTAGTCTGGACCTAGCCCAGAGCAGAACTGGCCGTGGTAAGGACCAAAGAGCGGCAAAAACGTAACGGGTTCGGACAACAAAAGCACTTGGCACCATGCACAAAGGAGCCAACAAGACAAACAAAACATACAACACAGAAGTGCGCCACATGGTGGTTTCCATAAAGAAAAGCGGTGTAGACACCAATATACTGCTATCCTTGTTACAGGGACTCCCTGGAAAAGGTGCGCTGTTTTTCAGAAACTCTGAATCCGTCCAATCCCTACATGCGCCTAAATATCCCTACATGAATCCGATATACCCTCCAAGGGGCCTCCAATATTTTAAAACCTTCACGTCAGAGCCCGGTTTCCAGGATCCACTCAAGCTCCAAGCCATGCTGTTCGATGAAGGAGATGACTTGATCTGCATGATCTGTGTTCCTGGGTGGAAAATCTGTTTTAGAGGTTTAGGGTGGGTTCTATAGGGGTTATATAGGGATATATAGGGTCTAGGGCTTAGGGATTAAGGTTTCCCAAAATTAGGGGGCACTATATTGGGGGTTCCCATAATAAGGACTATACTATTTTAGGGTCTATATTGGGGCCCCGCTATTTAGGGAAACTACCATGTGTTTTAGGAGTGCTTTGCGGTGTTGGCTTGGGGGTTGGGTTTACACGCTTCTTGCCTACAGCGGGAGGCGGTGCACAGCCCTATCCACAAAAATACATGCAGCATATGGTACAAGCAAGCGGCTTATTCTAGGTGATTCCCTCTTACAGTAACAGTTACTACAAGGAGGAATAGGAGCTACAATGGTCCCTCATGAACACCCTTAAGGACAGTTACTGTAACGCGGATGACCCGGCGTTTAGAAGAATAAGAACAAGATGCGACCTGAAAACCAAAGCTTGGGCCAGCATGGGCCCTGCCAAGATTGGGGCTTTGGGGGATTAGGGTTCAGGGTTTGGGGTTTAGGGTGTTCCTTGCATAGTCTGGCCCGTACTATCTATGGTGGGACTCCCCACCAGCAACATGCTTTCCTACACCCCAACTAAACAACATACATCCCAACCTGGACACTACAATGACTACAAGTGAGTCAAACAATGGCCCGCAACCCATAAAGATCGCCGAAGAGGCGATCGTTTCGAATCTTGTAGTTTCCAAAAACAAGGGGGGGACCCGAGTATAGAGCCCAAAATACTGCAATCCTTATGATAGGGACCCCCAAAATGGTACCTCCTAATTTTCGGAAACTCCCATACAATAAATCCACTGAGGTTCGGGTAAACCCTCTGAACTCTAAACCCTTGGTGACCTGCCCCTGAAACGGCCCAAGGCTCGTGTTCCCGGAGGAGAAGTCAAAGCGCATCACCGAATCGAGCACGGCCACCTGCTAGCTTAGGGTCTGGGGTTTAGGATTTAGGGGTTTAGGGTCTATGGGTTTAGGGGTTAGGGTGGCAAGCTGCATAGGGAAGACAGGGCTTCAGGCCGTGGAAGTTTCTCAAGGGTCCTCCTCTCTATCCGTCAAAGTCTATAGTCCCCCTTAAGTAGATGGAATATGGCTTTGGGTATTTTATAATAAGATCCCCATATACCCCATATTCTATCTACTTAAGGGGGACTACATACCCTTGAGCACGGGGATCGCACAAAAATGTCAGGTCAGTTCCTGAACTGAAGGAACCTCAAGCAACGAAATCTTGCTGGAAACTCCGGCCTCCGAAGCCTCAAATGAATAAACTCCTTAAAGGGGGGTTATATAGGGGACTATATAGGGGACTACTATAGGGGTTATTAAGGGGGATACTAGGAGTTTAGACTATGGCTCTTATGACTCCACTACTACGGGAGCTTGTCACAACCACTCATAAAATCCTTAGCAGAAACTACCAAAATCCCTACGTTTTGACGGCCTTCTTGCTGCTTGGGTCGCGAACAACGCAGCAAACAGTATGGGTCTCCTCTTCGTAGAAGACAGTGACGTGTGGCCTGCTTTGGTGGTGCAAGGCTTCTGCAAAGTCTAAACGTACTCGGGGTTAGTAGGGACTACGGGAATATGTTTTAGAAGGGTTTTGTATTCCTTTATTCCCTACCATCCACCAGCAAGAAAAGGGCCAGGGTTTAAATTTCAGGATTTCAGGGTACCTTTACAAGACTAACTGTGTCCCTTACACGAGGACTACGAAGAGTAGCTTGTCAGAAACGCCAATATCGAAAGCATCTAAGGATCACAAAGAATGGATGGGAGCCTGATTCCCGCAAAGACGTATGACTTAACAGGGGTGCTTCCACGGAAACACCTACTTGAATTGAGCTCACTCAAAAGGGTGCCAAAAGATGACAATTGAGGGCCATTCAGGCATTTAGTTGAGGCTTGATGTTGAGGCCTAAGTCCTTGGAGGTTTTTACAGGGCTTGGTTTTTGGGTATCTCCAACGAAGAGTATAGGCTCCGCTGTTGTGGGGGTGCGGCTGATCATTCTGGTCCCACAACGGACACACACCCCACAATGTTTCTTTCGCGAGTCTCAGTCTCAGCATTCAGGTCCCTGGCATTGCCTATTTTCACTACGCCGTCGAGGCTGGAGGTCACCCGCAGCCTGAACGTTGAACCCCAAACCCCAGTGCCTTAAACCCCAGATGCCAAAGCCCGGAACCCTAAACTTACTGGTGGCTTCACAGGAAATAGGGGAATACTATCCCTATATAGTCCCTTACATATTATATTCCGGTATTCCCCACTTGCCCTCAGAAAGTAAAGCTCGGAAACCCTCACTCCTGCAACCTCGACATCCGCAAAGTTTCTCGGCATGCCTGGTGGGGTCGTCCATGCTGGGGATGCATGGGCTGTGCCCATCGCAAAACCCTGCTGCAGCCTTTTGAAGCACCTCGATCTCGGCCATGATCTCAGGTCGAAACAAGGGTCTTCTATGTCTTCTTACTGGTTGTTAGTAAGGAATATGCGAATGTAGTATATAGGGGTTACATTCCTTTATGCCCTACTAAGAACCAGTAAGTCTTGGATGATTTTGGACTCTGGCTTGAGAAGAGATTTCGGGCTAAGGGTTTAAGACTGCGGGATTGAGGGTTTAGTCTATAGTAATCACTCAACACACCAGGCATGGGACCCTTGCTGCCTACGGTTGATGGCAGAAATCCGCATTGGAATTGCCATAGAGGACAGGCCTAAAAACATCAACTAGGGCTTCTGCTTCATGTTACAATTATACTATGGCCATAAAGGGGTATGAGGGGTATAGTATTGAGAATTTTACAAAGCCCTCAAGCATTCTTGGGGTTGGCGTGTCGTTTGTCGAGCTTAGGTCCTTAGAGGGGGTTATATAGGGGATTATCCTATTGACTAGTACAAAAGGGTTATTAAGGAGGAACTCTCGCTCAGAAAGGGATTCTATTCCCCTATTCCCTACTAAGAACCAATAGATTAGGTTGGGGACGAAGTCGCTTTTGTCCTGACATGTGCAAAAGTAGTCCATTAGACCAAAATCAAAAATAATTGCGCGGTCCCTGTTAGTGAGTCCGTATACTTGTAATTATCACGTTTTTGGGGGTCTACCTTCCCCCATTTAGGGAAACCCCTGTGCTTCTCAACTTGGAAGGCAATAGCAGGCTGCAACCTAAAAAGGAGTCTCCCAACAAGATCCCTATACCATCGAAGTGGAAAGAGCCACCGCGGGCGCTTCAGGGCTTTGTATAACACTCCAAAAGAACAAATGCCCCTAAGCTGGATTGCTGTTATGCTGTTAAGGGACTTAACCTATGTCACCATAATATGAGTGTATGGCAAATAATGGGATATCCTTATTATTATAGAAATGTTAAATAAGTTCCTTAACAGCAACCCAATAAGACTCCCTCCCTATATATCCGTAGGATTCCTCAGAGTAGCCGTATTTGGACACAATCCCGAATCTCCTGGTGCGACCCAGGATCAGATGCGCCGGGTTGGAACAGAAGGAAACTTGAACATGACCCGCCGCGGTGCAATTTTGCATAAGTGCTGAAGGCGCAGAGCTTCTTGCCCACAGAGATTGGCACTTTGCAAAACCCTGAACTCTGGGAATAACGACATGACCCCAGGATAAGCCACAGTATGGAAACATGACGTTGTCAGGGCCCATCCTGCAAATAGTACATCTCATATTCCTGGGTATCCAAATCTATAACAAGTCCCGACTTCAGCCCAGAATTCTGCGAATGCTACCTAGTCTGGTTTGTCTTGATACTTGTAGAGCATACTTGAAATCTTGAACCTCAAACCCTAAACCCTACTCTATCCTGTACTCCTTCTGAGGTGGTCCCTAAACCGTAAACCCTTCCTTTTTTCAGCGGGCTAAGCGAAGTGGCGAATCGACCACGCCGGGCAGTTCCGGAGATCCAGGGCCCATAGAGTAAATGCAGGATAACCCCCTGCACCCATAGGTTTTAGGGTTTAGGGTTAAGGGTTTAGGGTTTAGGGGATTTTAGGGTTAAGGATTTAGGGTTTAGGATGGTTTAGGAATGTTTAGGATATAGGGTTTAGGGGATAAAGCCCTCCTGCCAGTAGAGTAACGAAACCCCCCAGTATAATACCATTATACATTGGGGCAGGGGATTAGGGGCGTGGAGGTGGGCGAGTAAAAACAAGGGAGGGGATTAAGGTGGAAACTGGGATCTGCAATGAAGTATGAGCACCCCTAAACCCTAAACCCTAAACCCACACCACATTTTGGGATTTTCCCTTTCCCCCTTGCCAGCAAGCTCAAGCAGGGTTTGGGTGTAGGACCGTCGGGGTTAGGCTTATTTGCAGGATTTACTGCGGATGTGGAGTCCATGGAGACCCTAAACTCCAAACCCAAGACCCTTCCATCCAAAACCCTTAAACCCTAAACCCTGAAGTCATCTCAAGACTTTTGAGCACAGGCGGTAGAGGCCGCGCAAAATCCGTAATTTCAGGGTTCGGCGTCTAAGCGCTTAAGGGTTTTGGGTTTGGGTAAGACACTCCATGTCCATGAGTCCCTGATAGTAAGAATTTTGTTGAAGAACTTCTCTTAAGAAGTAAGCCAATGTCATATGGGAGTTTCCATCAATACTAATTGCGGGGGCGATTGTAGACCCCAATACAGGCTTTAGGGTATAGGAAAAAGCCCTGCATTTTCGAAACCACCATGTAGACTGCAGAACACAGGCTCGCTCTCTCTCTCTCTCTCTTACAGGCCCTGCCCTAAACCCTAAACCCCAAACCCTAAACCCTAAACCCTAAACCCGTAACCCTTTTAACATATTATAGCTCAGGGACGGCAACGAGGACCTCCAACTAAATCATGGTTGACACCTCCGAAATGCGCACAGTGGCCTTCAAAACCCATGTCTGCAATCTAGTCCCCCTGAAGTAGATAGAATATGGCTTATAGGTATAATACAATAAGATCCTATCCCCATTCGATCTAATTAAGGGGGACTATAACCCTAAACGAATCCTAAACTCTAATGAGCAAGCAGCTGTTTATAGCAGATCTCCAGAATTCAGAAACCGGGTTTAGGGCTTCCATGGGCTGGACCAGACCAGACTGCGTAGCATGGGCAAGCTCAGATCTGGCACGCCTGGTTCGAGCTGGTTGCAACATTACAAAAAAGCTAGCATAGGATTTGGGTACTGCCCTCACCCAGTAACAGTCTATATTATGGGTCCTATTAAGGGGTATATAGAACCATATTATAATTATTATCCAACTGTTACTGAGGGGGGGCAGTACCCAACATAGGATTTTCTGCTGGTATTAAAAGCCTGCATGATCTCAGCATGCCAGATTAGCATGATTTCCAGGAGATAAGGACGTTGAAGTCATGCAGGAGTGTTCGCATCAACTGTATCACGAAGGGGCCCCCGAAAATGGACCACAGTTTCGACAACCTAGGCATGTATGCTTTCAGCAGCAACTGTCAGACCCAAAACACAACCCGGGTAAGTTAGGGCTTAAGCTTTAGTGTAGGCACATCACATTAGTAAAGCCCATGTATCATAATAACTAACAGGTGCTATAGGATGTTAACTGTGCTAAAACTTGAATTTTTTGCCTACCTACAACTCCTAAATCCTATAACAGATGACTATATCATCCCAGTGTTCATGTTGTTTTCCTTCTTCATTGTGCATGTAATTCTCCACCGTTGGGGTGGCCACAAACCATATCCCGCTAACCGCAATTATGGACTAGAGGGTATGACTTGGTCATTAGGGTTTAGGGTTTAGGGTTTAGGGTTTGGACTTTACCTCCCTGAGTCTTGTGAGCCCTAGCTAAAAGTCAAGTGTGAAAGATCGAATCAGGTGCATGAACGGAGCAATGCTCCAATTTGGAACACAAGCAGCAGCTAACACCTCAGATCTGGTGTCCGATTAAAATACTAGAGCAAAACTATAAGCCGACATTCTTTATTGGGTATTGGTATACTGGAAACTAGCGTGATACCAGTAGAATAGAGTTTGCGCAGTAGAAATGTCAATCTGGATGGGTATTCGACTCACCGCATTCAGTTTGAACTGGGGACTTGTGGTGACCGTGGGCCCTCCTTCCCCAACACATGGTGTACATAACAGCCATTATGGTTTACGACTAACAGCTAACCCTCAACCCTAAACCCTGAACCCCTCTGAACGACCAAATGGCTGGTCACAAATTCCCGGCCCTTGTAGGATATCAAGTGTAGCATTCCGCGGTGAAACTGCGGTGAAGTATGAGTGTCCTACTTCTGGAAACTTCCATCTTAAGACATGTACATGCTCTGGGCATCTACCATGTGGGTCAGCTCTCTCACTTGTTTGAGGACTTTACCAAGACGTTTGGGGCCCATCTTCGTTGTCAACCCATTGGCTTTCCGACTGGAGGTCATGCCTCATTGTGATTTCAAAGTTCTGTGGGGGTCTATGAGGTTTGTATGGCGGTTACAATCACAAGTAACAAAGCATGACAGCTACAAACTCACGAAACACGAACAAAAAAAACACAGCAACAATTGAATTTAGGATCCCATGACAGCTCACTCAGTTAAATTCTTCTTACAAGCGCCGTACTTGCGAAACCACAAGACGAACACCAAATCCTGACCGGCGAGTCCGCACATCCTGTTCTCCTTCAGAGAAACGTAAGCAGCCGCGACAAGATCAACCTGATGTAAGGCTAAGGGCTCAGAGCTTTAAGTGAAGGAACTACTGGGCTGCTATTAAGGAACTTTGCTTATGATTCAAGTGGCATATTATGGGTAAAGCGTGATAAATTGGGCTTCCTTATTGTAGTGACTTGATGTAAGACCCCTTACAACAAGCCAGGCTAGCAGGTTCCCATCACTTATCGTCTGCCTGATTGTAGCATTGTAGCATGTTATCGGGCTTCTAGGGTTTAGGGATTATCCAACTACCAGCTCTACCCCTCAACTCTCACTATATCCTGCCCAACAACCTACACATCTATACCCTATTTTTGTATACAGAAGATATGAGGTTCAAGACAGAGAGGTACATATCCTAAAGCCGGGATAGTGTATAGGAGGCTAGGTAAGAAACACCTGATCTAGACTGGAATCCAGATTTGCAGTACAATCATCTACTGCAGAAGCCTGAACAGGTTCTACAGATTCTGACCGTGCAACCCTTCTACAAGAACAGTTCTTTAGATTTAAGTCGTGCTTCAAAATCCCGTTCTAATGCTTTGTGCACATGCATTTCACGGATGTGTTGCTGTCTCATCAGCCTGGCAAAAAGAGCAAAACTTGAAGTTCGCTATGGCCCCGGGAGAAGACTGAGCCTTGAACAGGATTGTCTCTGTCTAGATGATGTCGGATACAATGATAACGGGCAAATGACTACAACTTCGAGGTTCTCCCAGCGACCCCAGTTAACGCATCCCTCGACTCGTCACCCTGGCACAAACAGCCGCTCATAGAATGACAAGGCCCTCATTCGTTTGGTTTAAGGGTAGGGGAGGGACGTAGGGACGTACTGCGAACAGTTGGGAAGCGTGGGGAAACACGAAAGAGTATTAAGAAGTATCCCCACTGAAGAACCTTCTGATTGCAAGACTGTTGCCCCTCGTTCTGTGGGTTTAGGGTACCAGTTCAGGGCTTAGTGTGTAGGGTTAGGGTCCCAGTTTAGGGTTTGGGGTCCCAGTTTGGGGTTTAGGATATCGGCACATTTGAAGTAACCATGTTTGCCTCCGGCATTTTTGGAGACGGCCATGCAGAGAGTGAGCATCTCCTACAATTATCCAGAAATAATTGCCCACATCATTTTGAGGATTTGTTTCAAGTACCCAACCCCAGAATGATACACATCATGGGACTAGGTATCCTCTGCACGTCTGGCTGACTGTCCGTCCTCAAAACATCTGGACAGGGGCATATGGTTGATACTGAGCATGCTGCGTGAGCTTGGTGTACTAGAATGCAACAATTTGGAAGGAATTCTATACTTGGAGTCGTGGTCATGTAGGTTTATTGGACACCTGTAAGGCTTCAATTGTTTGGCTTCAACGAGCTCTGGGCCCTCAACTCCATAAAGTCAAACACCGCCAACCTGAACATCCCGCACCCGCAGGCAACTGGAGAAACCCTGCTAGAGCATGATGGCTGCATTATTGTTCGATCATCTGCGGCGGTGTTCTTCTCCTATGCTAGCATGCGTGTTGCGACACAGAGCCGGGCATGAAATCATGTCACTTCAATCTGTGTGTGCGTTGCAGCATAACACGTGTAGATCACCTACCTTCTCTGCCAGCTGCCAGAACGCACGAGATGCAACTTGCACTCTGACCTGAAAGAGATTCGTGAGCTCGTAACCTTCCTCATCTTGCTTCATGCTCTGAGACACCTCCTGCCAGTAGTCCTTCATGTCATACTGCGTCAAGAATGAGCCAAAGCGCTGCATGCTCAGGAGTTGCTTCCACCTAGTGTCATTCAGCTTTGCCTCGATGCGATGGGCCAAGATGACCTGAAGCGCCTCCGAGACAATCTTTGCGTCTTGGTGAAGTTGCTCCTGTCGGTCCTTGACCAGGCGGCTTTGGACGATCACCGCTAGGACCTTCGATGCCACAGCCTTCCGCTGCCGGGCACCTGGCACAGCACGTTCGTCAGCGCGGACTGATTCGTTCTCTGCCCAACTTTTTCTTGCCATGATCAATAAGGTCAAGTCATCCAGGCAGCCTTGGAGAACCTTCAAAGATGCTTCGTAGAGCGAGATTTTGAAAGGAGTAGCGGGACCTGCCATAATTCTGGCCCTGGGGTCTGCTTCAGCAACTAAGGACTTGGCCCTGGCCATACAGGCATCTGCCTCCTCCAGTGCATCTTGCAAGGCAGCTAAATCATTCTCCAGAATGGCCTTGAGACCTGATTTAGGTATGGCTCAACCGCCCTAAATAGAACTACTTCCAAATGACTAGCAGGGGATGCCTTCACACATTGGCATCAAAAAAAAACATAAATTTGGAACAAATACCCACCTGATTTCCTGTTGTCACTCTGGTCGTAGAGGAAGATCGGCTTGAGGAGCTTGCCCAGCTGACGGACCGCGGCATCTTCGGCCGACTCGCGCCTCAGCAGGAAGTCCACTGTCAGTTGCACCGCCAGAGCCATTGTGATCTGTCCCAGCTCACAATAACGCGTGTTGAAAAGACCGGCGTGTAGGTCACCACTGCAGGGTTCAAGGAGCGGGTAGACACCAAAGCCGGCTATCAGGCATCCGACCAGGCTCCAGGACTCCGAAGTGAAGTACATGTATGTGAAAATCCAAACATAGAACCTACATGCCAAGGGGAGGTTTCCTCTTTACAAGCGGGGCGAGAATTGGATTTGGCTAGGTCTGAGTCTAAGGAAGATCACCTGTTTTCAGCATGTTCTCAGAACTCCAGCGCAAAATCAAGCGCTGATCTCTGCGTATACATGTTTACTTAGACGTGTTCTATCTATTAGTGCTCCTGATATACAACTCACTCAGCTTCTTTCCAAGAATGACCCAGGAACCAGATGGCCAGGAACGTGGCGATTAAGCGGAGCCATGATCCGCAGCCCATGAGAGACAGCCAGGACATGATCAGCAGCCTCACCGTGTGAGCTTCAGCTATAGCGTTCAAATCTGGGGTACAAGGTTTAGGGTTTAATTAGAGATTAGAGGGGAAGGGATCTCTGCAGTAGTCCCTAGCCCGGTAGTCGTCACAATAACACATTCCACAGTTCCTAAGTAAGCGTGAGCAAGCAGCGGGAGCACCTTACCCAGAAGCACACCCAGCAATCGACGAAGGTTGTTCAAGAAAGCTGTGTTCTGATATTGGGAAATCAGCAGCGCCAACGTCGCTGGCATGGTTGCCTGGTATGGCTTAAACCTGGGTTGCTGTTAAGGAACTTAAATAAAGTTAGTATATTGGGGAAACCCTATTATTTACGATATATACCCATTATGGTAACTTAATTTAAGTTCCTCGAAACCCTATTATTTATTATATATACCCATTATGGTAACTGAATTTAAGTTCCTCAACAGCAACCCAGAAACACGTAGCCATCTAGCCTGATGGCCAAGAAGAACACAATGGCGATGCCAACAAAATTTCGCAAAGCAAACCAGAGGTGCTCTTTACCTGGGTTGCTGTGAAGAAACTTACCTGGATTCTCGTTGAAATACAACTAAAAATATCTTTTTGTATATTGATATTGAGCCCAGGTATCCATAAAAATGTAAAATTGTGTTCTACAAGAGCCCAGTTAAATTAAGTTATCGTAATATGGGTATGTAGTAAATAACAAGGTTTCCTTTCTATGATAAACTTAATTTCAAGTTCCTTAAACTTAATTTCAAACTCCTTAACAGCAGCCCAGTTACTGAGCATGTTGCTGGGGGCCCAGGTCTGCCGGAGGCCTTCCCAACCTGGGTTGCTCTTCAGGGTATAGCCCCCCTAAGTAGATAGAATATGGGGTATATGGGGATCTTATTATAATATACCCAAAGCCATATTCTATCTACTTAAGGGGGATTTTACCATCATGGAGAATCAAGTGGAGAAGAAAATGGGACACGAAGTTGAAATTGGGGTTATACAGGGATTGCATAAGGATTTAAAGAACCTACATTAAGTCATCAGTACTTGCACAGGAAAAAATGCTATTCATTGGGATTATAAATGAAGGTAACTTGGTTTAGTGGCTTTACAGCAACCCGGCAACATCCCTTCATGAGATGGATGAAGTTGTGACCTCGCCAACAATGCCAGCTGCTGCCGGCTTCATCCCATTGGAGGACGAGGTCCGCCAGATCGGCAGCCTTGCGTGTTTAAAGCTTCCATGGTTGAGGTTGGGACTATACAGGGGAGCACCATAGGGGTTATTAAGGGGTTTTGGGTGTAGATTGATACCAAAGCCAGGGAAAAGCATGGCCGAATGCACATTGAACAAGAGGCGACAAATGTTATTCTACACACTTTGAAGGTCCAGCTATGTCTTTCTGGGGTTTGTTTTGGGCTTCGGGTTTCAGTTTAAGCTTTCGGGTGTGGGGCCTTGCGCGATGTGAAAGACACAGTGAAAGCCAGCATGCTCTCAGCCACGGTGTCTTCGGACAGCTCTGCCTGAAGTATCTGTGCGTAACGTAGAACCAGCTGCTGCTTCTTCTCCTTACCCATGCTTCGCTGGAAACAAGGGAATGGATACCTAGAGTAGTCCAAATGTGGTTTTTGTAGTTGCCCTCTAAACCCTAACCCCCCCATCCCCCATTCCTAACTAAGCATGAGTAGGTCTCCCTCATCCACTCAGCAGAGGCCTTGATCCGTTCACGCTTTTCTGGGGCTACGTGCCAGGCATAGCTGGCACGCAAGCAATCCTCAGTGAGTTGGGTTGCGACTTGCGCCATCATCTTCAACTCTGGGTGAAAGGATCGAACCAAATCATGGTACTTGCTTCCACGGAAATCTTCGTTGAGTATGCAAGATTTCAAAGCAGGCAAAATGTCCACAATGTCCTTAAGGTTCCGAAGGATTTGATCCAGCAGCTTGCGTCGAGGTTCGTACGTGCCCAGCAACGCAGATTCCCACCAAGCATCGTCAAGGTTGGGCTTGACATTCGCAATCATCTGCCTGATCGCATCGATCTTTGCTGCAAGGTTGTATCTTTCGGCCGTGCGTTTACCTCCACACATGTACTCAACTGCTTCTTCCCAGCTCTTACTGAGTGCTCCCACTGTGGAGAGCATTTCCTGGTAGGCCTTCCTAGAGTTGAAAAGCGGGCAGGGCACGAAAGTAGCAACCACGGAGAACACACAACCCAACACCGTAGTCACCAGCACCACGAACCAGTACTCGTTGACGCAAATATAGCCGAGAATAATCCTGTCTTCTTCTGGGCACTGCGTACGGCCGCTGTTTGGATTCATAAAATCCATCATGAAGAAGAAGTGCCAGGACATACCGAACTTGATGGTGTTGGTCTGCGAGTTCGAGGCCATGAACAGGAAGAGCACACCAAGGGTATCCAACCATCCAATCCAATCTCTGTAGCCTCTCGACTGGTATACCATCTCGCCTTCGAAGCATTGGCCATGCGCTGCTTCTTCTTTTGTACATGTATGCCCCTTTCCCCCGTGAGGGAAGAATAATGACATTGCAAAAATGTTCACACAAGCACAGGAAGTCCCTATGAAGCCCTGCCAAGCAAGCTTCAAGGTCGTGCCAGTGCCCCCAAAAACAGTAAACACCACCATTTGCACAACATTCGGCCATGTAGCAGCCCACTTCTCCGGCAGAAGGCCGCACCACAATTGCTTTCGTGATCCGCTCCATGGCTCCAAGTCCTCGTTCCACGGCCTGAGATCTGGCTTTTGCGTCAGTGCCGTTTCAGTCGTCATGCTTCCATAATCATTCTCCTCGCAGTAGAAGTCCTGCTTTGCCTTGGACTGACAACTTCCGCCAATCCAATGTTGCCAATCGTAGGCAAGTCTGGTGTCTACAATGGCATCCTCTGGATAAAGCTGGCATACTCCACCAAAAATGTGACCGTTGCTCCTCTCCCGCCAGGACCAACTGGAGCAGCGTCGACTGGACTCACACTCGTGCAGGCAGATGGCGCCAAATGCCAAGATAGGTTCTTGTGAAAAGTTTTCTGGCAAGGCGTAGAGAGGCTTGTTGCCTTTCAGGGTGGGGAAGTAGTTGCCTTCAGCATTGCCGATCCAGAATGTCCTGAAATCGTGGAAGTACCGCCGCCCTGGTCGATATCCACAGACTTTGCCATAGGGACTCCTGGGCTGCTGTCAAGGAACTTTATTTAAGTTACTATATTGCGGAATACCTAGTATGTACCATGTATACCCGTTATGGTAACTCAAGCCCTAAACCCCAAACCCTATACCCTATACATCCATTATGGTAACTTAATATTTCATTTTCCATTTTTCTTTTCCAGTTCAGTCTCCATTATTAGGGGGGTAATCTAGTAACCCTAAACCCTAGTTAATTCAAGTTCCTTAACAGCAACCCAGACTCTTGGAAACGTTCAGAAAGGCCTGAGTCTCAAAGTCCCGTTTTTCATTGGCATTCTGTGTGTCACAGGACGTGACATTCTCTAAGTCCTGCTCTGACATGCCATTTGCTCCCAAGTTGCACCAGTAGTGCTCCTGAGGGGATGTCTCCATATATGTATATATATATATGTATATATATATATATATAGATTTCTGTACGCATATGTATACATATTTATACATACATGCATATGTATATGCATGTGTATAGGCCCTCTGAGTCGAGTCTCACATATGGGAACCAAAGCGAGGAAGGGTTCTCAGAAGGGAAGGGCATCCCGGTATTTCTGTGACCCTACCCCTGAGGTCCCAGTCAATGCCGCGTGAGGCTTGTATCTCCGCTGTCTGTGCCGTCTCACCATACAGGAACAGCCGGGCAGTCAGGCAGTAGTTGGGCAGCCCAATCAAAGCAATCCAAAAGCCAAGGAAGAACGCCAAGACCAAGTTCGACCAGAAGGTGTGGTGAATGATGTTATATTTCAGCCGCTCTGTCATGTCCCCTACGCCAAGCACAACAGCAAGGCCGGCATACACGTGCTGAAGGACATTTTGCCGCCCTGACGCCGTAAGAATACTGCAGCAGTGTTCTTCAGAAGTTTCTTCTTCGCCTTCTCCTCCGTCAGAGTCCTCAGATTCGTCGTCCGAGGATTCGGTGAGGTGTTGATGATGTTGGACATTGCAGAGACATTGCGGAAACATAGAACACAGACACGAACGAAGCAAGAATGGAGCAAAACTAGCTGCGACTGAGAGATGAAATGGCGGCGTTTCATGTTGGATGACTTTCTTTGCCCTGCTACGCGAGCAGTGCAGCGCCCGGGTCATGTCAGGCCATGCCGCAAGATTTGCCGAATTGCTGCGCTCCTTTAGTAAGACCGAACCCCCCATGCTGCTCCTGCAGCTCTGCGCAGCAAATTGTAGAGGTTGTTCTGAGCAGCCACTGCTTCAAACATGATAGCTCGGGTTCCATGAATAGAGGGCCCAACAGGTCATCATCCTTTATTTATACTTGGATCCCCAAAAGGCCTTTTGTCTGGAGATCTCCATATTGGGCTGAAGCACGGACATGTTTAGGACTTAGTCTACACCATTTCAACGAACCCTATATGTTTTACCCATGAGCCACGCGGTCATTAGGGTTTAGGGTTAAGGTTCAGGGTATCTCAAGGCCGCGCATCTATACGATGGGAACGTGCATTTGGAAACCCAACTCTTGCGGAGTATTCAGTGAAGCCTAGATTAGCCTACAATGTGCTGAAGCTCAACAACAAACTTGAAAAGTCCCCCCAACTTGACCTCTACCTGTGTCCCAGAGGCAAGTAAATAGTGGCCCAAAACACTTTTAAATCGAGCCAAACAAGCAATTATGCTACATACTTGGGGGTTCAGGCACAAGCCGCTGCCTGGTCTAGACCGGGATGTCACCTCCCAGTAGCCTAGGCACAGCATCCGAGTGGACCAAATATGCTAGCTTATCAAAGTTGTGGTCTCTTGGGGGTTGCTGGCATTATAACAGCCTAGTCCTTAAGGCCACAATTTGGACAACAAACCGTTTAAAAACCTGCCGGGACCAGACATACGTATGTATGCATATGAAGATGCATATGCATATGCATATGCAAAACAGCAGATGCATACTACACATAGAGGCGAGAACATTCTGGCTGGAGGGTTGGGGGATAAAGGGGTCAAACTTGGTGGGCTATAAGTAGGTGGGTGCTTCACATTGCCGTGGAAGGTTTCTTTGAATGAGCCTAACTGTATGTCGGAATTGCTTCATAAGAGGCATGCAAAAGTCAAAAATGGTAAGGGGGCAGAATGTATAGCAGTGATCAGCGTCGCAGAGGAACAGGCAATCTCAAATCAGGACGCAACAGAACAAGAGCCCATCATAAGGCTCAGGCGTCGCAGGCGGTGGGGGTACGACGCCACGTCGGCGTGGCGATGTCTGGAGAAAGGCTTACGTCTTAGCTTGGAAAAGGATCCCTCTACAGTCAAGCTCTTGTGGGAGGACTTAGAGTCCTTTGTATTTCAAGGGCACGGAGCTCCACACCAGGGAGGGCGTCTTATTGCAGAGCACTCGCCTGCAAACTTTCCAAAGTTCTGAGTGCTTGGAGTTGCTTCGAGCTTCGCGGACAGTGGAGATCACGGAGGTCATTTCTTCTACAGGATGTGCGATAGAAACTTCATGCAGGCCACCAATATGTCGGGCCAAAAACACTGTGCGCTAGTAGGGCCCCTGAGCCATGCGATGGTTCCAAAACCTTGGCGAAATGAAGGCATCTGCATGCAAATCTGGCACCAACTTTGCCTTCGCTGTTTTCGATGCATGTTGAAAACCATTTGCAGGACGACGTGCTAGCAAACACCACGTACGCCCTGATATCCACTCTTTCCCTCAACATAGGGCTTAGGGTTTAGGGCCTTACCAGGAATTCCTAAAACATGAAGGTGAGGGCATTATATGCTGACAGCTGTGCGGCCACCCTGGCGCAACAAGTTGGACCACATCTTTAGGTCAGGTGGCCAAACAGAAAGATATACACCAAAACATCGTGATTCAAAAAAGCGTGGCAGCGTCCAAATAATACTTTCGCGAGCAACAATGAGGCTCTGAAGCAACCGTGCTGTCAATTGCTGTGTAGAATTTCCCTTGCTGTCCCTTGTTATCAAGAATCAACATCAGCTCATGTGAGGCTACTTTTCCCAAAGCTGGATCTCAACTGATTACGAACCATCATAGTGTCACAGTAGCGGCGAGAATAGATTAGCAGAAGCTCTAAAACACTTATGGTCTCCCTGCTTGTCTGTTTGGGCACCCTCCAAGCAAGATAACAATTGTTATTACCGAAAGCCCAGAGCTTTAGGTGCTTATAGAATCCTACCGACCACCCTTCGCCCCCAAATCCCCAAACTCCATCAACCTCTTGCCCCGGACCGCAAATCCCTACCCTAAACCCTAAACCCTAAACCCTACAATCGCAAGGCAAGGCCTTCCGCTCTTCTTCCAGTGCCGCAGCCAAGGGCTGCCAGCGAGGAGGGGAAGCCCCTGCCGCCGGCTTCTGAGGGGTCAGGTTCCGGGTCTTGGTGCATAGGGGTAGTTCCCTAAATTAGGCCCCATTTTGGTACACCTAAATATTAGGTATCGTAATATAATCCTTATCAGAGTTTTGGGAACAACCCGTAGGGTTTTGGGGGAGAAAAGGCAGGGAGGAGTACAAGGGTCTGTGAGCCATTGTCTAAACTCCTAGTATTCCCCTTTGTATAACCCGATGTAATCCTTATATGACCCTATAGAATCCCTATATAACCCGCTTTATGGACTCTAGGCTCTAGCTGCTAGCTCATGTCGGGCCTCGGGTTTTGGGGGGGAATAGCGAAGATCGTAGTCACTAGCCTCTGCGGCTGGCTTCAGCAAGCTTCTGGGCTTGGAGGGAAAGTCCAAGCCAGAAAGACATAAAGGAGGGATAGTAATATTAGTAGTAGTGATACTAATATTGATAATAGTAGCAATAGTAATAATACGAATAATAGTAATAGGACCCACTCGACATGGGGGATTTCAGAATTCGGATTTCAGAGTTGGGGGGTTAAGGTCAAGAATTTACAGTGAGCCTGAGGTTTAGCGCACAAGGTAAGAGTGGGGAGGAGAGGATCAGACGGGCCCCTCCTCAGTTGTTAGGGGTACTAGTTTTGTGGTGCTCGGCACTCGCAGGACCATTTCACTAACAGAGCTATTGCCTTCTGTCACTGTTTCTATCATAGATATGACTTCAGTACGAAGAGACTTAGGCAAAGGATGGAATGGACAAAGGAGTGAACATACATATAGCTGGGGGTCATATACGGGCTACCATAGAGATCACCCCCCTGCGTTCTCTACTAACAACCCATAAGCTAGCTAGACCTACCAACTCCATCCTTTCTAATCTGGGGGGGCTTAGGGTTTAGGGCTATGATCCGATTAGCGCTCACCCACGAAGGTTGTAGACTAGGAATATACCATAGGATTTCCACATGCTGATGAAGCATCCCGCGCTCACAAAGAGGGTGGACTCTTCTGATTTCAAGGGATATAGTTCCCCTTAAGTAGATAGAACAGGGCTTCGGGTATATAGTAATAATAAGAAGAAGAAGAATAATATCCCCATATGCCCCATATTCTATCTACTTAAGGGGGACTATAGTTGAGAATGATTGTTCCAAGGTCTTCCCTCAGGGAATAGAGAGATTGTTTTGAGAAACTCCTAAAGCCTAGTCCGAACGAAGGTAGACCAAATCATGATGGATTTTGTCCATCAACAATTAGGTCCCGAACCTGAAGCTCCTAAACCCTAAACCCTAAACCCTAAACCCTAAAACCCTAAACCCTAAAACCCTAAAACCCTAAACCCTAAACCCTAAATTAAAATCCAAACCGAAGGAGCTCGAGGTGAAGCTGGCCTACCGGGGACCAGACCCGGTTTGCATAGCCTGCCAAGTACGCACGTGCATACCAAAGTATGGTTTAGGGTTTAGGGTTTAGGGTTTAGGGCCTGGAGCACTGAAGTATGTAAGTAGAGTCATTGCATTTTGGACTTGATTTTTTGTTTGGGTAGGGGGGGGGGGAATGGACGCCCACGTAGTTTTGCAGCGTACGTCAAGCCAAGTGTACATGTAGGTATTGCCAAAGATTTGCTCTGCCTGCCTCAAAGTCTGCTAGAATCTAGGCCCCCTGCAAACACAAGACTGCATGCTCTGGAGGTTCATGTGAAGCGACGATGACTACAACTAGGATTACAAAAGCTGTCTGCAAGTGTGCTAGCTCTAGACGCATTCTCCTACAGAACCAACCTAAAACCTGATCTGGGCAGCCTTTGAGTAAACTGGGCTCAAATGGGTTCCGGCAGGCTCCTATGTAGAGAGAGAGAGAGGGAGAGATGTGTATATATATATATACACTATAAGTGAATATAGCATGAACCAGGTATCTACAAGAAACATCTTGGAAACCCGTGCTGTCTGTGCACAATGCCTCCGGCAATACCAATCATACACAGGGCCTCCCAAAAGCCGCACAAAACTTGTGAGCCACAGTCTAAAATCTAGTTAATAAGCCCTATACTAATCCCCTGTATAACCCCTGATATAACGCCGTTTAAGGAGTTTACTTGCTCAGATGGCTCTAGGTTTGAAATGGATCCCTGCAAATCATAGCCTGTGTTGCGCCGCCGTCCGCCCGCCGTGGGTGTACCCGTACGGTTAGGGCCCAGGCCCAAGGGTGCGGAAACTGCAAGGCGTATAGTCCCCCTTAAGTAGATAGAATACGGGGTATATGGGGATCTTTTTATAATATACCCAAATCCATATTCTATCCGCTTAAGGGGGACTATAGGACTTTGTACTAAGACTTCTGAGAGCTTGGAATCGAAACTTCAGGGTCGAGGGCTTGGGAATGTGGTGGTTTGCAGGCTCAGATACAGCACCGCACTACTGTGATTCTCCTATCGGACCCGCATACGAATGAATCAACTTGTGCTTGTGGGAGGGATGGCATTGATTGGCGAGCCACTCTCCTGTACCAGAAAGGGCAGATGAGGCAGTTGCCGGATGTAATCTTGTTCTTACTGTCATCCTGGCTATGCAAGGTGTGCGGCCTTGCAATCGCGAACGTGCATGAGATCCTGACATGGTCACCATAGCCGTGGCCAGATGCAAGG